AGTATGTTTTGATTTCCTTTACTGAGAACCACTTTTTGTTGACTGTTATCACTTGATTTTTATTTTCAGCTGTCATTGAAAGGAAAGACATACATAGACAGACTAGAGCTATATGGCATTCTCAGTTATACGGATTTCCCGGAAAACAAGATTAGGGTCCACTAAACAGGAGATCCAACAGATACTATGCTATAGAGTGCATTTCCGTTACTTTGCAACATCCAATTGAGTTCGTTTCAAAGTAGTCAAAACACATGAATGTAAAACTAAAACTGTAATAACAAAAACAAGCAAAACACTACAGAATGAAACAACACAGAGGGCAAGAGGTTCTTGTGGTTGTATGGGAATGTCGAGAGAGAAATGAGAAGAGAAGCTTTTGTTTGTTCTCTCTCACCAGTCCTGTAAGCAAACAAGAAGGAAAAGAAAACATTTAAGTCAAACATAAACTGTAGTTGCTACAAGATCTCTAACAAAATCTAAAAATCTTACCAAAAATCTGTCTAGCGGGGGAAAGTCTGGTTTTTAATGCTACAAAATACAATAACAAAGCCAGCTTGCTTCTGGAAAACACCCTTCGTGCAAGTCATCATTATTCAAATGCAAGAGCGGAGCATTCCCTAGCCACTATTGGTTTCGCCAACAGAAAAGATAGCCTTATACCCTAGAATTTGACGAGTCTTCTTTTTCAAGAAACCGAAGTTAATAACCACTAAAGATACAGGAATTTCGAAACATTTATACACTGGTCCAGTACAAAACAAAGATGAACATTCTGCTGTCACACAACACATACTCAAATTGGTGAAACAACCCAACATTTTCCAACAGATTGTAGAGTTCAAGGGTATAGCATGAAAGAGGGTGATGTGGAACAAAAACAATGAAACTGATACTGGATGTATACCAACTGAAACAGGCAATATCATACACACACAAGAACATCTAGCCTATATTGAATTATATGATGTGTGGGTCTTAAGTGAAATTGATGGTCTTCTCCATGCAAAGATTCAGTCCTACAATGATTCACGAAAGATGAATTCTCTATAGATTCATCTTGACAGTCAGAATGACTCATCTAAATTAGCCTAGAACTCCTTGTGTCATGCAGACACAAGACAAGTGATTTATGTTACTGCTAGATATACAAGACTGTTCAGTTAAAGAGTTACTATTTACTTTATTATTTAATGATTATTTAGTTTTCATAACAAGTGTTAAAAGTTATTTATTTAAAAAGTGATTGTTATGACAACTTTCATTATGTAATTCTGTACAAGTCGTACAGAGTTACATATGTAGTTTAATTGTTGTACTAGGCAATTGTAATGTTGTTGACGTCATCTTACTCGAAACTTCTATGCTTTTTTCATTACGTTTAAGATTGTTGTTACTAGAGGGCTGTATATATTTTATCACTTGTGATAAATACGTGCAGATACAGAAAGGAAGTTAAGTTTCTGAAAGTAAAAGTGAAGTTAGGCTGCGTTATTGTCAGTTTAGCCATAATGGTTAATTTCGAAAGTGAGTTTCACAGCTTGTACTGTAACAATAAAGTAGAGACGAAGAATTTGCCTTGTCAGAGAGTGTTCTAATATAACTGAACCTGCCTGTGTGGACTTTGATTAAAAGGAGACAGTTATCTAAAGCTCTGGATACAACTGTGGTAACCAACAGTTATAGTGGTGATTTTAAATTACAATAATTGCTGACTGTATTGTAATAACAAACTAAATTGTAATAATTAGTCTTGTCAGTTAGGTTCTAAACTAACTGCACCAGCCTGATAAATTCACTTACGTTACCCTGTGGGTTACCAGAGTCATATCCAGTGCTTTTACATCAAAAGTCCACACACTGGTTGTATTGTGATAACAGAGTAGAGAAAAAATAATCTGTCTTGTCAATTGGATTCTGAAATAACTAAACAAACCTGTTTGGACTTTTGATGTAAAAGCACTGTATATGGCTCTGGTAACCCACAGGGTAACTTAAGTGAATTTATCACTGGTTGTATTGTGATAACAGAGTAGAGAAGAAATAATCTGTCTTGTCAATTGGGTTCTGAAGTAACTAAACAAACCTGTGTGTACTTTGACAAAAAAAAAAAAATAAAGCTCTAGATTCAGCTGTTATAAACAATACTTTAAATAATTTTCTGTACACAAGTTTGACTTGTTTTGAATATATTATTTTAAAACAAGTGGATTGTGTGCTGTCTGTTTATTGTAGAAATCTATCGCCAACAAGTTACAGACATCTATTGTGAATGAATCACAACACCTATACAAACGTGACAGTTACTTACATGACCCAAGGAACACGGGTTCACAAGAATAGCTTCCACACCTGCTTGTGCTGTGCAACAGTATAATCACCTTCATTTTATACAAGATCAGTTAATGGCAATTATGAAAAGCACTAACATTCTCACATAATTCCCCATAAAAAGAATGTGCAAGTTGGTAATTGATATATATATATATATATATATTGGAAATTGGTTTATGTGACCATATATTATTTATACATTCACCACACTTTTGTGACAAACCTCAAAAGGCTGAATTATTCTGTTGGGTGCTTGTTACAACCTTTCCACAGAAAGAATGGCATCCTTGTTTTCCCACCCAGCTTCTGAATATCTAATGCATCCCTAAGTCCTTTATCCACAATAAGAAAGTCGTGTTGTATTCAAGCACAAATACCTTCAATATCATTTCAGAGTAGGTGATAAGTAATTGCTGCATAACTGTTTCAACCATGAGCAAGATACGTACCATAGACAAACACAGTCTACACATCAATTGACGCATTCATCACTGGTATAGTACACAGCCGCTGCTTGCGTGTACTGAAACTTTGCCTTTTGAATGCATAATTATAAATTCCATCGAGAATTAGGATGACAGCATCAAAAAAGTTCCATACAAAAGGGCAAGCATAATTAGATATAAATTCATAGTATTTCATACATTCATAATAGAGAGAGGAATAAAATCATTCACCAATTCAAAATTAACAAGTGTATTGTCCTATTTACAATAAAATATTTCTCAAACCAAGAATTTTGGATATAATTCTCTTTGATAAACCAGTATACAGCTAATAAGAATAATCCTAAAAAGGTTTTTGCATATTGGCATTTCTCAAAGATGGAATCATTGGAAATTGATAATCAAATTATGACTTCGTCATAATTCAGTCAGATTAAAGTATTCACTATCAGTTAATTTATTTTACCTGATCTCTTTGCTGTTGCAAATGCGTTCTCCAAAAGGTTAGTCACATCTGTTATGTTACGATTGGTATGGACAGAATCGAACACAAGTACTTCCTTTCCACGTAAACTTTTGCAGAATTGAGTTCCAACGAAGATGACAATACCGTGTATAACAAATACTTAGTTTTGTGCTTCAAGTGGTACATCAGTAAACTACGTTTTGGTCACATGGCACACTTGAAATGATTGTTGCTCATTGACCCAATGTTCAGCCTTAAACACTTATGGTTTGTAAATATTATTTTCTCAAGAATGCAACAAGAAAGTTGTGGCAGAGGAATGTTGCTTAAATCATTTTTTTCACTATCATTTGGAAGGGATCATACTGTTTAAGAAATTTAGTACACATACCATCATCTTGACAGGAGTTTTCTTCTATCCTTGAAGGTATTTTCTCAGTTCACTATTACAGTCCTGATACACACCTTCTCTCATTATGTCCACACTTCTTACATCACACACACACACCTGTTTTTCTTGAGCATGTCTCAATGATAAATCATGAACATTATCACCCCCCCAAAAAAAGCAAAAATGTTTCATACTTCACAGGATAACATAGCCTTTCTCTATTAGTTAATAGTGCAATTGGTTCTAATGCGTAAGTTGTGATTGTATTACAGATATATGTACGTACATCATTTCGTGTAGATATTTCTTCAGTGGTTCCCTTTTCATGTTCCACATTTATAATGCAAAAAGTTTAAACACTTGTAAACATGATAGAAAAGGGACCTCTACACTCTAGCACATTTTTTATGACAAGATATCCAGTACCATCTTTAACCAATATAATTTTGTTAAATATTTTTCTGATCTAACAATGATAAACCTCCTGAAGAAAAAAAAAAAAGTTGCTTAAAGACGGCACTCACCTACAAAAATGTTTACAATCGGGAAATTTTCCTCAAATTGACGAATTCTGAGCAATTGGGCCAATAAAAGAATCGATAACAATTGTTATGTTGTGAACGCCATTTACCAGCTGGCGATGTATGATTATAACAGCATTTGTCATGAGACATTATTATGCCTATTTTATTTGTAGTATTCAAACCTGTCTGAGCAGCTCTAAATTGAGAAAAATGCATCGTCGGCAATGAATACGACAAATATAGGGTGATTGGAATAATATTATTATACACTATTCTAATTTTTGAAAATACCTAAGTAGTCTCCGGGTGTTTAAAAATATAATAGACTAAATACTGATGTCTTAGAGGAATATAATTTTATAGGATTCCATAATCACAGGAAAAAAAAAGGATGTAATAATAAGTTCATTTTTGCCACAAAAAATATCATGCGAGTTCCATTACAAGTAAAATAATACCCTTGTTAAACAATAATTTTTTGCCGTCACGTAATTGTAATTAAAATTCACATCATAATACAGACCTTCGTCTTCCAGTCTTTTACGAATGACTTGCCACATGGATGCTTCGCCATCTAACGCTACAAATAACAACAGTTTAATAAATCTAGCCTAAATTGTTGTCTGTGAAATGGCAAACATTCTGAATGAAGCCATAATTAAAATCTAATACAAACATAAAACTCTTCCGTAAACTTAAAAGATGATAAACTTCATTTTATAAATAATATAATGTATTATAGGAGATACATATCTAAATTATCAATATTACTTTTTAAAAATGTTCACTATACTCACGTCTAATTTAAAACAAGATTTTATTTAAAAACACACGATTGGTGATGGTCGATAATAAGTGAATAAACTTTATTTCCCATACTTATACAATACAGATACAATACTTTGTAAATTAGAAAGTAGAACTGATTAAAAAACAATATCACGTCTTAAGAGCCTGTCTTGTAAATAAATGGGAGAAACCATGCAAGAAAAATAAACTGAGAAAGTGAATTTGGTCTTAGACTAAATCTATGGAAATTATCACAAAAATGAAACTCAATTCATGGATAAATACTACACGAATATTACCGAAAGCTATTTTTTTCACATAACTTGTATATTAAATAACATTCCAAAAAGCATACATCACAGTTTTAAGAAAGAATAAATTAAAAATTAAACACTTCATAATTTTAGTTAGTTAGCAATGTCGTTCGATGGTAGAGCAATACTTATGTTTGTCACTAACTTTATCAGTTGATTAAAATTATCACTTTTATACATGTACTACATCAAAACGAGTACACTAAAATAAAGCTTTACGTAATATTCCAACTAGACTAGAATATCATCTTAAGTTTCTTAACACACCCTATCTCCATTAGGTTGTTTTTTTCTTACCGAGCATTGCCACATTGGGCTATATTATATAACTTATAAGCTCTGTCCGCCGCATTAACTTCGTACGTCAGTAGACTTACCGCTATTCTTAAGTAAAGCAAAATCGGTCAATACGAAAGGTACAGCTAAGTCAAATTTTATACACCGAGTTACGGATAAAAAAATTCATAAATAAGAGATTATATAGCTCAAATCGGTTACTCAATGTAAAATATATTATTTCATGAAAACTATTATCGTGATATAGTAACATAACCATTTTAACAAGGATGAACACTAACAGTTAAACATCACAAAATTAGGCCTACTATTACTAGTATTATACTTTCACAGTACTAATCTTAGTGAAAATATACTTTGCCCGTGTTTCCATGGATTTACATAATTAATTTTTAAAATCAATGGTGATCTAGAATACACTAAGAAACTTCGCAGTGAAGCAAACAAGACTAATACATTGTTTCAAGATGAATGAGGAAGGTAGTCGTTATTACATTTATAAATATTAAAATATGTAATAAAGAATTCGTTCTTATACTTATTGACGCACCATTACCAATTACAGATGAACTTTCAGTTTTAGTTTGACAGTATAACTTATAAGTAGCAAACAACAATTACTGCAATAGGTTACTGATATTAATTATTCATACTAACATGCACATTACGTCAAATACAGATTAAAAAACAACATAATATTAATAAATTTATTCTGTTAAAGTTGAGATTTCAAAATAAGATGAATTAAAAACCGCACAACACAGATAAAGGTAAGGAAATGTTACTTTTAAGTTCTAACTTCTACTACTACTACTGTACTGGCATAAACTAACCTAACAATATTAATTATTATATAATTCATAAATCTTAAACTGCTACGTTCTCAGGCAAAAAATAAAAAGCATTACTGATGTAGTTAACATAATACACATTAATTTAGCCTTAAGGTTTTCCTTTATCAGTTTATGGCATGGGAACAGGAGTTACAAGAGGCTTTCCATCTAAAACGGACAAGATGTTCTTAGCTGCCAAGGTTGCCATTTCTATTCTTGCTGCTTCCTCAGCACTGCCAACATGTGGAAGAAGAACTATGTTTGGTAAAGTAGTAAGCTTGTGATCCCGGGGTAGAGGCTCAGGAATCATTACGTCAAGCCCTGCAGCACGGATCTTGCCATTCTTGAGGGCCTCATAGAGGTCATCTTGTTGAACAACTCCTCCGCGACTAGTATTAACGAAAACTGCTGTAGGCTTCATTTGGCTGAAAGCCTTGGCATTAAACAATTCCTTGGTTTGTTCTGATAAATTGCACATTGCGACTACAAAGTCTGACTCTTTCAATAACTCTTCAAACTCAACATACTGAGCTCCCATGTCTTCAGCGGGTTTGATTGGGTGAAATAGATCATAATACAAAACCTTCTTTACACCGAAAGGCAACAGGCGTTTCATGACAGCTTGGCCAATTCTACCCATTCCTACAATTCCTATTGTGCTGTTGGTTAATCCTCTACCACATAGCCACAGTGGACTCCAAGAGTAGATCCACTCTCCATTTTTAATAGCGTTTGCAGAATCCATGATTCTTCTGCCACAAACCAACAATAGTGTGACAGTCAGCTCAGCTACGGAGTCAGTGGAAACATCGGGAGTGTTGCTGACCGCAATATTTCTTGCCTTACATTCGTTAATGTCAATATGATCAAATCCAACAGACATGGTCGCTATTACCTTTAGCTGGGGTCCTGCTGCATCCATCACATCCTTGTCAATTTTGTCCGTGAGAAGACAATAAAGAGCATCCTTACCCTGAACTCCTTTAATTAAGGCATCTCGTGGAATCGGCATCGGCTGGTCGTAAATTTCTACATCACATTTTTCCTTTAAAAGGTCAATTCCTGCTTGAGGAACGTCTGGTCTGGTTACAAATACCTTTGGTTTGCTCATTTTTCAAAACTTTTAAACGAAGGGAGAAAGGGACAAAGAAACACTTCACACCCAGCAAGTCTGATGAAATACAAACCAATCGTTGCGACCTTGCGCAATGTCAAGTAACGCCGGCGTCACGTGATAGTGACTGTTCGCCCTCTATAGTGTGTTTTGTAATATCGATTTTTTTGTTCTTCAAGAAAATTTTAAAAGATTAATTAAATAATATAACTTCTTTTGTTTCAACATTTTAAAACGCGTGTATAAAAGCAATTTTTGGAAGTAATCTTAGATATAAAATCAGCAAGAAATTTATCCTACTAATAAAAAATAAAATAAAGGAAAGTTTAATGCACACGCGGACACAGTGACTGCGGACGTGACAAACCCAACCATCGACGTAAATTGACTCAAATTTCCAGGAACAAATTTCCTAAGTAATTTTCTTGTTTGCTGAAGTGTTGAATAATTTTAGTTTTTAACTCTACCAGATGTTTCCAAGCATGGAACTTAAACTCATACATGATGTTTCTACAATTTTGCTATCTATTCATCCATTTTTTAAATTAATAACGGAAGTTCTCTTTTTGTAGTAATTTTATACAAAATATAATTAAGATTACTGCTAACTATAAGATGGTCCTTTGGACACTCGGTGGTTAGCTTCAGGCCTTTTAAAGCTAAAATTTAGGGGAAAGTCCCTGCGATTATTATATTACACATAGACCATTGCGCAGTTTTGTGCTGAACAACAAACAAATTATCTATCGCAGATCCTGTGTGATATGAAAATACCACCTTCTTATATTTTATATCTTTACTATAGTATCTTTTTTTAAAAATTTCCTAAAATTATAGAATAGAATGGAATGAATACAGTTTAAACTAAGTACTGGTGTAGCCCTAGATTATACTCTCTGTAGCAGGACTATGCTGAATACCAACTTCTTTGATATATATATACTACATGATAGGATAGTTATATTGTAGTCAACGTCACCCTGAGTGTGATACTATCTTATGAGTAATATATGGAATGGAGAATATTGCCAAATTCTTGTAATTACCTCCGCCACCGAAGGTAGACGGAGGTTATGTTTTCATCCCTGTGAGTGTGTTTGTAGCAAGGTTTCTCGAAAACGGCTCAATGGATTTGGATAAAAATTGGTATACATTTAGACTATCGCCCAACTTAGAATTGATTAGTTTTGGAGGGTCAAAGTCACAACAAGGTCACAAAAAAAATCCCTATCTATTAACATGGGGACTGATTTTCACACTATTTTTGCTGTATAACTCAGTCAAAAATGATCGGATCTTGATGAAACTTGGTGAACTTATGTAGCATATTATTCCTCATTGTCCTAGCAAAAATGATTCGTGTCCGTTGTTAACGACGGACAAATACACATACTTTCGTATTTTTTAGATTCGAATATGATCAACGCTGCTTGGCAGGGGTATGTGCTTTACTGTGCGCCTCACTAGTTTCTTTATGTGGTTAGTCAACTAGAGAGAGAAGGAAAAGTATATAGGTGGCTTTGGTAATGTCAAAGATGTTAACATTGTTGTACTTCTGAATATGTGACTTAAAAGTAATTGTGACTTTTTTTTTTAACAAGATGAAGGTTTGTTTGTTTGTTTATTTGAAGTTAAATACAAAGCTACACAATGGGTTGTCTGTGCTCTGCCCATCACTGGTTGCAAAACCCGATTTATAGTTTTGTAAGTCCGCAGACATTCCGCTGTGCCACTGGGGGACCAAGCTGAAGGATTTATGGTTTACAAGGTAACGTATACATTATGTTTTTTTTTATCTTTAACTGTCAAATACTTTGCTGGAAGACGTCCAGCAAATTCGTTATGCCATGTATTAAAGCCTTGGAAGCAAGTGATCCGCATGAACAGATTGTACAAAAGTAAAAACAAGCTATCAGTAACACAAAGCTCCCACGTAAAAACATGAACACATTCCATTTCAACTCACTAAGATTTGATGAATATTTCAATTTCATGTATGTTCGTAGGTGTGTGTGTACTTCCCTACACTTGAAATTGAGGGTATATATATATATATATGCTATATAAACTAATCCGTCAAATTAACTTGTCAGTACATTTTAGTCATTATAAATCAAGTATAGTGTTAACAGTTTAACTGAAAAAGAAAACCTGTTTTGGTTCTGAAATTCACATTCAGTCGTACCTACGTCCTGTTAGCTCCATCTTCAATTAAAAATAAATTAATGATACACGTGAGAAGCAAGTTTGGTGTTTTAAAAAGTAGTAACTGCGAATACAATTTGGTTGTGTGTGTAAAAAATATACCCAAGAATATGTAATTCAATAGATATTTGAATTTAATATTTTTTCTTCTCTTGTTTTTGTTGTTTGTTATTAAGCACAAAACTACACAAATGGCTATCTGTGCTCTGCCCACCACGGGTATCGAAACCTGATTTCTAGCAGTATAAGTCCGCAGACATACCTTTAGAAGGCATCTGAAAATGAATGACTCACGTCCTTTTTCAATTTTTCTTATACTAACTTATTTCCAAGATACCAAACAACCTAATGTATAAGGCCAGAAAAATGCATTGTTTTAGTATCTCCGTGAATCATAAAAAAAATAACTTCGTGATTAATATTTAATTGATTAACAAGTATGACAAGGAACTGGGCTAAAATCTTGTTCAAAAACACGCTTATCATAATATACCAATACTGGTAAACAACATGCTATGGTATTGAACTTTCTATACGCTCATAAATTATACTTACCTTATGATTTTATTGTTATCAAGTGAGAGATATTTAATTTGGCTTCAATCGAAAAATGTTAAAGCGAACGTTTAAGTTACGCAAAACTTTTATGTGCATATTTAATTAACGGCATAAAGTCAAAAACTAAAAAAAGGGGGTTTTAGAATTAAAATTTTCAAAGAAAAGGTTTCATAACAGAAGATTCCGATAAGTTCAACACTTGTTTCTGATGTGATATTGCCTACATAAAGTAATCCCCTGGTACAGAAAGTTGAAATTTTGTAGGTAGAAAAATTTCGTAAGCAAATGCTGTTAACAAAAAAAAAACTTATCAAATTATTAAAAACAGGAAGAAACATAAACCACTAAAATAAATTCAACAAGAATAAACAGGAGAATGAAATGATACATGAACCGAAGCCTTATACGACAATAATGGAAAATTAAAATTGACAACTCCTTGAATGCTCACTTCTTTTAGATTTCATGTCCAAATTAAAAAGATGGCAATATGTGTCTGAATTAATTACCACAGTTGTTAGATCAATTAATGTTAGTATCGAATTTATTTTTGTTCATAAAAGATGGCAGCACCTACAGTTCCAATTGATAATTCAGTTCATGAAATATTATTTCAGTGACTTTTCACAAATTTTATTTAGATATTCCTTTAATTAATATTTAAATAACTTTCATTATAAAACTAAAATAGAATTACAAATACCACTTTTGTTGTGTAAAATAAAATGACTGATTGTTATTACAAAATATTATTCATTAATTTAATAAAAGATAAATACATATTTGAAGTATATGTTCAGTATCATATTGTGAATAGAATTCGGCTTCTTCAGAAAGCACAATAAAATCCGGAATTATTTACATAACGAAACTATAATGCAAAAATGGGTTAAATATATATATATACACTTGATTTATCCTCCCAAATTTACAACAAATCAAGTCTCATTGAGAATAATCAATGGATTTGTTTTTGTTTGTTATTGAACAGAAAGCTGCACAATGGGCTATTTACACTGTGCTAACTATGGGTATCTAAACCAGATTTTTAGCGATAAAAACTCTCAGTCTTACTGCTGACTCACCTGTGGCCTAATTAACTGATAAATAACGGTTAAAAATTACTTGAGTATTTTATGCAATGTTACAGAGTTAGATGTTTATTCGAAGCAGCGAGATGTTGGAATTAACGAATCTGTTAATTATCCAAGCTATGGAATTTGCTGCAGAAAATATTAATGCATAAATTAAATTTAGTTAACTGTACGTATTAGATAACTATCCTTTCGTACTTAAACCTTTTATGCAATATTTCATTTGTTATACTTGCACATTGGCTCATAGCTACAAAATGCTATAGCCATCCCAAATTTGAATTGACAGACTAGAGTAAGACTGCTAGTCAACAGCACCCACCGCTAACTCTTGGATAACTATTGTGCTACTGAATAGCCGTCGCCGTCATCATGAAAGATATTTCGGGTGGGACTCACGGGCGATCAAATTTGTTTGTTTCTTTGTTGAATTTCGCACAAAGCTACTCGGGAGCTATCTACGCTAGCCGTCTCTGATTTTAAAGTAATAAACTAGGGCAACTACTCAACACTACCTACTGTCAACTCTTTTACTATTCTTTAGCAACAAATAGTGGGATTGACAGTCATATTACAATGCTCCCACTGATGAAAGAGCGAATATGTTCGGTGACGGGATACTGCGATCCCGCGACCCGCAGTTTACGAACAAGCGCCCTAACTACCAAACCACGTCAGACCTCTCTTCATCCTCTCACGTGCAAAGCGGGTTTTTGCGGCAAATGGACGAGTAGCATAAATATTCGGGTTCAGTCTGGGCATATCTAATAGGCCATGTCCTGCCCTGTTTATTAGCTGATACGGACTATTAAGCACATGGTTACCAAGTTTGTTAATCCCAGCCGATCTAATTGAAATGAGCACTTGCTGCATCTCATGATGGCATACAGGGCAACCGAACTAAGATCTACAGGATAGAAACAGATTTGACAGTCAGACAAGTCATTTCTGACAGCCTCCTAATCAATACAGCTGGAATCACCACCTGATTATAAATATCTATGATGGTCATGTGGTTGAAAGATCAAGGACTGAAAGGAAGTGTATTCCTTGCTTTTCAAGCCACTGGGAGATGGTTTCTGATGCAATGTATGTACTAAGTTTTCTAATTAACACTTGATTACCAGCATTTTTAATGTTTTGTCGATCGTAAGACCAGCTCGACTGAAAGGGTTTTGCAGTCCTTACTTTCTGAGTTATCAAATAGTGTTTCACTACAGGAGATATCTGTAGCTTATC